GAAGACACAGAAAATGTATTGATCAAATATTAGAACCGAAGTACACCCTCTGGAATTTCCATGACATACATTTGGAAAGCAACACTGAGTGTTATTTTATATAGCCAGCAAAAAATATATTGAATTACTTATTTCAAGAGATGGTATGACCCAGAATGAAATACACTTCAGAAATAGTTGAGCTAAATTCATGGATGACAGATTCATAGTATGTTACTGAGGAAATGGATGTCAGAGTGCAAGATTCCCATGTGAGACCCTGGACTAAGGCAGCAAATGCCCAGCTGGCAGAAGATGTGAATTCCTTCATGAAGTGGAACAGTCTGGATTAAGTGGACACAAACATGCATGGTTTCTAGTCATACCCAAGGAAAGAACGGCTTGATCTTCCTACGCCAAGGAGCCTCTCTCCATTTAATATTAATTACCTTTATGAAATATTTCCTGATTATAAAAAGAACATATGCAGCTCTGCCCACTCCATACAGAATTACAGACATAGAGACTACATACCATTACCTTTCTAAAGGCTAAATAGAAATAAAAATAAACAAAAATTGACTTCTGTGACAAAATACTCTTATGCATTTTTAAATAAAACATCAATTATATAGCATTTTGGTACAAAAAGGAATTCAGGTGGGTGTTCTGAAAATTAGCATCAGTGGAATGCTATAAATAGCAGCACTATTTTTTTTTTTTTTTGCTATGAATGCCCTTCAGTTCTGAAAATAATTTTCATTTTATAGGTGACTTTTTACTTTATAAATCAATTGCACAAATAATTTCAACTATCCTGTCCTAAGAGACAGAAATGATTACACGAACGTGATGTGTAATTTGAAACAACTGAGGACTGACTGGTTATTCTTCTGCACCACTCAGGACGACCTTCTGAGAAACTACCCTTGAGAAACACCAAGACTCTGGCGTCTGTGTACCTAGAGTGACACGGCTCGTTCACCTGCAGGCTTGTCACCAGCCGATTAACAAGGGAACATTCTGACTCACAAAAGGCTCATCACGCCATTATAAGAGTAAGGATTTTCTGCCTCAAAAGGGAAATGCTCTATGTTTGGGAGAAACATAAAAAATCCATTCATTATGAACAGCCTGAATATTCATTAGGATTCAAAGCTACAGAGGATGCGAAGAACTAACTTGTTGGGAAAAAGAAAAGGCTGTTTATTCTAGACTGAATAAAATGGATGATGTGAGGCCCTCACCCTTTTTCTGGCTCTCAGTGGAAGATTTCATTGGCCTTAAAAGACCCCAAACTTTCGGTGTCACATTTTACTTCTACACTGAGTTCTCACATGCTACTGTGCCAAAAGCTAAACCTTAAAATCTGGGGGTGGGGGTGGGGCAGAGCTTCTAAAATAAACAGAAATTGATCTTACAAAGTGAAGAAAGCAGGTTCCCACTTCTTGTTGAGCGTTAGGTTCTGGATGCAGGCATTCTTCCACGACTTTTAAAAATTCCTT